TTATTGATACAGGCCACCAGCATGCACTGGGAATAAGCCAACTTTCTAGATGTTGGAGAATGTTTATTCATTTATATATAAATTCATACAGAAATATATCAAAATGCATTTGCACTCAGAAACAGTGAAGCATTGTTGTTAGAATTTCCAAGTAACTATTTTCTTAGATTACTATTTGTATTTCAGTGCTTGTTTTAGTTAAAAGTTCCCACATTCAGCACTGCTGCTTACTGGCTTGTGACCATTCCCATCTGCCGTGCTAACTTATATGTTTGCATTCAAAACTCAATTTGATTTGAATCCTGAAATGTTGTTTGCTGGACGGTTGGCTTTCGAAGCAGTGTGATGCCAATAGCTTGCATATGCCACACATGGAGCCTCACACCTCTGCATACCTAGAACCCACAGTCATAGACATGAAATCATTCACGGCAGGAAGTGGAAACTGGTTATTATGAATTATTCATTTCTGTTCAAAGCCATGAACTGATTTTGGGTGTGTAATAAAGCGTGAGCTTTGTAATTGTTACTGAAATGTCAAAGCCTACATGGGAGCAAACATTAGGAACTGAAATGAACACTGACAATCACTGGACCAAACAAGACATAATTCATTAATTATCAACAGAAAAGTTATTCAACAGACCTTTTCAAGGTCCTTAATTTGAAAAACAACCTGTTGCATTTATATTAAGTGGGTTGATAAGAGATCAAATGAAATTAAAGATCAGTGCCATTTTGAGATAGTTTATGAATTCCATTTTGAAATAGTTTATTAATAATTCCAAGCACTCTGTTATATTAAGACAGCTCTTCAGATTATCCTACAATGTTACATTAAAAATACAGATAAATGAGACATGAAGTATGAATACCAGATGGTGTAGAGCAATCTCTTTTAAAATGTCATTTATTCTTTTTAATTCATTCATGGATTTGGGTATCACTGGCTGGACCAGCATTTAATGCCTGTCTTTAATGACCCAGGAGAACATGGTAGTGAGCTGCTTTCTTGAACCACTGCATTCCTAAGGGAATCGTTACACCCAAACTGCCGTTATGAGGGAGTTCCAGGATTTTGACCCAGGGACAATGAAGAAAGGACAATATAGTTGCATGGCTGGATGGTGTGTGGGTTGAAAGGGACCTTGCATGATACCATGATGGACACAATGGCACTGCTGCGCTAATCATTCCAGGTGCGAGACATTGTCGGTTTCTAAGGTGCTGTCATAAGAGCCCAGGCGAGCAGTGGCATTTTATCGATGATACAACACTGCCGTCACTGTGCTTTGGTGACTGGGGAAATGAATGTAGAAGATTGTGGATGGGGTGCCGATCAAACAGGCTGTCCTGTTCTGATGGTGTTGAAATTCTTGACTGACCTTGGAGCTGCGCACATCCAGACAAGTGGGGAGTGTTCTATCACATTTCTGAGTTGTGCCTTGTTGATTGTAGGCCCACATGAGGAAACAAGAAATGAATTGCTTGCTGCAGAATTCCCAGCTTCTGGCCTTCCCTTCTGGCCATTGTGTATTTATACGGTTGGTCGAGTTAGGTTTCAGGTTAAAGGTGGCCCCCAGCATGTTGATAGCAGGGGATTCTCTGATGATGATGATGATGATGACGATGATGCCATTGGAAATGGTTAGATTCTCTCTTGTTTTAAGTGGTCACTGCCCAGAATTTATGTGGTGCAAATGTTCCTTGCAAATCATTAGGTCATTGCTAAGTTTGGACATGAAGAGATTCAGTATCTGAGGAGTCATAGATGGTGTTGAACATTGTGGAATCGTTAGTGAACATCCCCATTTCCGAGTTTATGATGGAGAGAAGCTCATTGTTGAAACAGCTAAAGATGGTTGAGTCTAGGACATTGCTCTGAGGAACTTTTGCAGAGCTGTCCTGGAGCTGAGATGATTAATCTCAATAATTGCAACTTTATTCCTTTGTACTACACCAACCAGCAGAGAGTTTTTCATCTGATTCCAATTAAATCCAGTTTTGCTAGAGCTCCTTGATGCCCTTCTCAGTTAAATTCTGCCTTGATATCCAGAACAGTCATTCTCACCTCACTACTGGGGTTGAGCCCTTTTATCTATGTTCAGACCAAGCTATTAATGAGGTCTGGAGCTGAATCAAAGCTGAATGTCATGTTATTGCTCTTGAGCAAGTTATTGCAGAGCAAGCACCTTATGATAGCACTGTCAATGACCCCTTCCATTGTTTTCCATATGATCAAGAGTAGACTGACAGGCTTTAATTGACTTTGCAGAATTTGTCCTGAACTTTTGAGGACACGACATACCTGGGTGATTTTTCACATTGCCAAATCGATGCTAGTGTTGTCGTTGTACTGGAACAGTTTGACCTGTTTCTGGAGCACAAGTATTCAGCATTATTGCTGGAATGTTGTCAGGGCCCTTAGCCTTTGCAGTATGCAGGGCCTCCAGCGATTTCTTGATATCACTGGAATTAATGAAATTGGCTGAAGGTGGCAACAGTGATGCTGGGGATCTCAGATGGAGGCCAAGATGGATCACCCAGTTGGCACATCTGGCTGAAGTTAGAAGCAGATGGTTCAGACTTGTCTGTTGCACTGATGAGGATGGGGATATTTGCGGAGCTTCCTGTTAGTTGTTTAATGGCCCACCACCATCACCGACTGAACATGGAATGACTGCAGACATTAGATCTAATTCATTCGCTGTGGGATTGTTTACTCTGTCTGTTGCTTCTTGGTTATGGTGTTTGGCAAATTGTCCTGTATTAAAGCTTTCCAGGTCAATATCTATGCTGGTGCTGCTCCTGGCATGCCCTCCTACACCCTTTGTTTAAATTCTGTACTTATTAATTGGATTCAAATTTCATCCTCTGCTAAGGTGGGATTTCAGCTCCTCACTCCACAGCATTCGCTTGGGCCTATTAATCCGGTAACCTTACCAGTTCATCTCTCTTCACTTGGGAAGTTTGTTACCCATCCCTTGTTCCTCTGAGAAGGTGGCGGTGGTAGGTCATCAGGGGTTCGTCCCCAGTCTGTGCTGAGTGTAGATCTGAGTTGGAGCAATACCAGAAAAGCTTAATGCTGTACATGTTCAGGAGCTACTCTTCGGAAAAATGTAATAGTTGCGATTGTAATTGCATTGCATCCATTGTTAAATTTAGCGACAAAATTGAGTTGGTGAGACCTCTTCTGGAGTACTGCACACAACTCTGGTCACCCTTTTATAGGAAGGATATTAGTAAACTGGAGAGCATTCAGAAAAGATTTACCAGGGTTTTCCTGGGAATGAAGGATTTGAGATATAAAAATAGACTGGAAAGACTGGGACTTTTTTCACTGGAATGTAAGAGGTTGAGGGGTGACCTTATTAAGGTTTATAAAATTGTGAGGGGCATAGATAAGTTGAATGACAAAGGTCTTTTCCATATGGTGGAGGAGTTCAAAACTAGGGGGCATATTTTAAAGGCGGAAAATGTTTTAAAAAGGATATGAAGGGCAACTTTTTGACACAGAGAGTGGTTCGTGTTTGGAAAGAACTGCCAGAGAAAGTGGTGGATGCAGGTACAGTTACAAGATTCAAAAGGCATTTGGATAAGTTTATGAATAAGAAAGCTTTGGGGGGATATGGGCCAAGCGAAGGCAGGTGGGACTAGTTTAATTTGGGAACATGGTCAGCATGGACAAGTTAGACCGAAGGGTCTGTTTCCATGCTCTACGACTCTATGAGAGTTATGCAGTAAAAGAGAGATGCAGTAAAATTTTGGCAACTGCCTGATTGAAATGCTTCAGCTTTGTGAATTACAATGCAGTAGCAGCAACCTCATTAATTTCAAACACACGTTTGGGGTGATGGTTTCCATGCAGCTATTGTGCAGTATGTGATAGTTATTTTGCAAAAAAAAACACCTCTTGTGGCTAACTTATACTTCCGCCTTGTACCAAATTAAATATTGTGGTTCCAGGTACTTAATGCTTTGCTTACGTATTGTCGCTTTAAATTTATTGGACAGGTAATAATTATTGAGGATATTGATTCACCCTTCTAATTCAGCTTCTATATGAGTCCACAAAGCCTCGTATGTCAAATTGAAGTCCAGAAAATAGTGCTACTACGTGACTGCATCATGTAACAAAGGAGCTTGTGGGAATGGGAAGAAGTAATTCCTGCCATCAAAAAGCAGACCCAAAATTTAATAAGTGGCACTTAGGGGTAAACAAAAATTATGCCCTTGCAATCATAACAATGTCAACACTCACATACCCATACATGAAGGATGAGGAACAGGATAAGCAAGTTAGGGACAAAAGGACTACCAGTATTCATGGCGATGCAGTCTAGCCCTCTGGCAGAACCGTGAAAAATTGGGACAAAAAAAAACGCCTTTTTTAAACCTGCCAAACTGGGCTTGTAGAACACGGAGAAGGGAGGTCTGTTGTTTGCTAGCTGTCATGTTCATTTTAGTGAAATCTGTTCTATGATACCGGAGCGTAACATTTCACTTCAAGTAATTAAGTTGAGGCAAAATCTTTTAAAGATAAAGTGGGTAAATATGCAATGTCCAGGAAGACGCAGGGAGAGACCAATAAACGGTTTATAAGTAGCTTTTAAAACTCCACATGGTATTAACTGAATAAATGCTCATTAGCAGCAGTCATCATTTAAAAATTATTTTCATCTAACCTCTTTTCCAAGTAACAGGTTTGACTAAGATCTAATCGCTGTGTTTATACTTCAGCTGATCAAACAACAGGTGAATGTCAAATGATTCTAATCTTTAGAGATTGATGCAGGCTTGACATTCACCACTGATTTAATCTGCATTCTGTATCTAGAATTGCTGAAGGCACAAGCTGTCTTAATCAATTGTTTTGATTGGTGTGGTCTAATGTTAAATTTGAATAGTGCTTTATGATTTATGATGATGATTCTGCAATCAAGGAAAATGCCTTATTGCTTGTGACAGTGACAAAGTTAGTCTTATCATCCTCCCATTAGGCATCCTCTACAAGGGAAACGGGGAAAATCAATTCATCTCTCAGCAGCCAGCTGTTATCAACAGCATCATGGGCAATGGACGAAGACGCAGCATCTCGTGCCCGAGTTGCAATGGCCAATCAGATGGTAACAAGCTCCTGGCACCCGTAGCTTTGGCGTGTGGCATTGATGGCAGCTTGTATGTTGGCGATTTCAACTACATCCGCCGCATCTTTCCTTCAGGAAATGTGACGAGCATTCTAGAGCTAAGGTAGGTCTAGAGCTGCAAAACCTCTCCTGTGCTGCTCCAGCCTTTGCATGTTGGGACAGGTTGTTCCTTCCTGTTGTCCCCTACTTTCTCAGCAGGCAGAGAATCTAAAAGACTGTACAAATTAAATCGTAATTTTTTTTTAGCCTGTGCAAGACCCATCTTCCCACCATTGGAACAAGCTAACATTCTATCTTGGTAGAATTCACGGATTGATTTGGCTTGAATAGACTCTTAAAATGCGACCAGTCAATCCATCATTCCAGTCCCTTAATGAACGATATTTGAGGTTCAGTGACGAAAGAAATCACAAGAAAAACTAACTACCCCTCTGTCAGTCAATATGGCAGCAAAGAAGCTATTCGTTCAAAATTGCATTTAAGTTGCAGCTATGTGTGGCCTGTCTCTGTTAATTTGAGAGGAATATTTGAACACAATGTTTCACTGCTACAGAGAGGAAGACAGTTGATTTAAAGTGCAATGTCATTGCCAAATACATTAATTAGCTTCAGGTTTCGAGTGAAAAACATGCAAATTCCTCAATTGCATTCATTAGCCTGGAATTAGATGGGTAGTCATTGATTGGATGGCATTTCCAAAATTGACCAGTTACAAATAGACCAGTTATTTTGGTTTGTCGAACTTGAATATTCTATGCACTAATTATCACGCAGCTTAGATCTGTTGTTTAGTTGTATTTCTATTTGCATTCATAAAGAGTCAAATGGTATGAAATTTGATAGGAACGTTTGTTGTTTGGATTTGGGTTACTGCTAGCAACCATTAACACCGAACTGTTGCTATGACGGGGTTATGCACTCAAAACTTTTATCTGCCTTGTTATGAAGGGTAAAATGAATAAGTGTCTGGTCAGTGCACTAGCAAACACATCAAAGTCAATCTGTGTTGTAGATTGCTATTAGCGTGCAGTTGTACTGAAGCAAAGCTGATTTGTCTGGAAACTATGTTCTGGTTGTATGACATTAAAATGATGTGATGGCTCCTCTTCTAATATAGTATAAACAGTTTGAACCACTTTGCATGGTGATTAAATGAAGTTTATTCAAACTGGATCTCTTTGTTTGTGTTCCATAACTAATTCAGACTTTTCTTCTCTTCCTTTCTTGCTACGTATTAAGAAATAAAGATTTTAGACATAGGTAAGTTTGAGAACTGTTGTTGTGCCTCTACTATATTTCCATCAGCTAGTATGTTTTAACTAACTTCCTCCTCCTACATAAGCTGCCCTTTCATTATCATGACTGAGTTCAAAATTAACCTTTTTCTGACAGAGTTATTGGATCTGCTTTTGCTTTCAGTGCTTTATTATGGGCTTGATGAGGGTGGATCAGGGAATTGAGAGAACACAAGTGATATTTTTAAACGATCATAGGTGCAATTTATGTAAATTAATGTCACCACTGTTAAAAGACCTAAAAAGCAGAAAGAAAAACCATACTGCTTGCAAGGGATATTAAAGAGCTAAACTTGAGCTTCTTTTATTAGAGAATTTTACAGCACAGAAGCAGACCATTTGTCCCATCTTATCTGTGCCAGTTCATTACTCCATCCTCTGATTATTAACAGAAAGTGACCTTTCAAATTAATTTAGTTTGGATGGACACAAAGAACGAAAGCAGTCAATCATTCCAGTCTGTATAAGATGAACATTTCAAAATGGTTTTCTCTGCGAAATTTTGTCTTCCCAATGTATGTGTAATTCCCTTTTGAAATGTAGTATGAATCTACTCCCTCAGTCTTTTAAGATCATGCATTGTTAATCATGACAACTCATTATGTTAAAATGAGTTTTTTTTCTTTCCTGTTTTTTTTTGCTGATCATGCAAAATTTGTATCCTCCTGGTTGCTGACCATATCGCCACTGGAAATGGTTTTTCCTTAATTCTGTTAATAAACCCCCTCCTTGATGTTAAACATCACTGTTCTCGCTGTTAATCTTCTCTGCTCTAAGAAGAGCAGGCCCACTGAACTTTTGTCTTCTCACGTAGCTGCAGTCCCTCATGAATGATGTAAAATTTCCAGTTTTTGCATACAGCTTTTTGAGAATTTGTGTTTCTGCAAGCTGATTGTTTCATGGTGCTCTACTTTTCCAGTTTGTACGTCAACACTTGACCCTCTTTGGTCTGTTTCCCTTGTGCCAGTTCAGCTCCTACCCTTCTTTTCCTTCTGCACCTCCCTAAGCTTTGAGTCACATCTGCTCAGTCAAATGGCATCACTTACTGAATGGTTATTGCCGAATTGAAGAAAAAATATTGTTACATTTGGACTTACCGTGAGATCATTCCTACAACCTTTGGTAACAAGAAAATTGAAATTGGCTCCGGACCTGTTGCACTCAGCTAATTCCTTTCATTTCCTCAAAGTAACAGATGTGGTTGAGGCATAATGCATGGTTTTTGCATCATTTTTTGTTTCCTGCTTTCATTTTCCCTCATCTTGAAATGTCAGGTTGGCTTAGTATTCCCAATCAGTTTTCCAAAACCCTCACTATGTCGACTTGAACACATAACTTGACCTGATATTTCAATACATTATTGAGAGAGCACTAGGTAGGTGGAGATATTGGAGTAAGGCATATTAGGTGGGTATGGAATATTCCAATATTTTGTGCAGTCCATCAATTATCAGACCTCGACAAACACATCCATACAGAATCACAGTGTGGAGCGGTCCTGACTCAAAACGTCAACTTTCCTGCTCCTTTGATGCTGCCTGGCCTGCTGTGCTCCTCCAGCTCCACACTGTGTTATCTCTGACTCCAGCATCGGAGGTTCTTAATATCTCCATACAGCATCATTTTATATCAGCAGCGTGAGTTAATTTGCTTTACTGGCAGGTTTAATTGTGCACCCCTGGTGAATAAAGAACTGGGAATAATTCCAAATATCGAGTATGTTTTAAATAGGCACTGTTTTTGAACTTGCAGAATAAATGTTGACAGAATGCAAATAGATTTAAGGAGCTTACTTCACAGAAAATGTAATGGTGATTTAAAAATTATTTGTTTATGGAACAAATATCCTTTATCTTCTGATGCCCTCAGCTTATTATGCACTGGGTACTGCTAGGAGTCATGAATTCTCAGTTTCTGGGGCCAGGTACAAAGCTCCACAAAGTTTCAGGGAATTTCTGAGCAGAGATCGAATGAAAGAAAGAGCTTTCGAGGTAATCATCCAGATGTGCTCTCATGTGCCATCTGTTGACAATCAAGAGAATAGCACCTTCTTTGGAGCACGCCACTTGTCTCCTCTCAATACAATAGAATAGCAATTTATTGCCAATTGTATTTATGAAAATACAGTGGGATGTGTATAAGTTGCCACAATTTGGCTCCATTTTAATTACAGTAGTTATAAAAAAAATTGAGACAAAGTTAGGACAAAGAATTGAAGTCTAAAACTGATTTAAAGCACACAGGTTAAGTATGTTATTTCTCGGCTATCCAAGACATCACCCCTCCGTCCTACTCAACAAAATAAATGTCCAAATTCTTTCAGTAAACACAGGATGTCTTTACTGAATAACTCCATTTGGCAATAAGGATTGTCACCATGCAGTAACAGTGGGAAACATTTATTAAATTTATTGTGTTATTTCTATTAAAAAGATAAAACACCATTCTAAAAGAGGCCATTATGATTCCACTTGAACAATTTGTCGCAGATGCATTGATGACACTGTCATATACATTGGCCAGACCAATTTTTGTATCAAAAACATTAGCACAAGTTGTGTGACTGCAATAAGGAACACTAATATCAGAGAATTTGGATCCCTGAACCTTACTGAAGGGAACGGGAAGAGCTGAATGAAGGTGTGAATAATTAAAATACAAGAATCACTGACAAAAGGGGGAAAGTGTTTGGAAAAGGATTTGAGTTAGAATTGATGCAGGGAAGATGGACGAGTGATACCTAGAGTTAGAACTGTGAAAAAAAAAGCACATTGCAGTTATATTTTAAGCTGGGAAATGGAAAGTGACAATGCTGCAGTTCCAGCGGGGAAATTGTAAAGTGTAGAACTGGAATCAATGGAAATAAATGGAAACTGGTATTGTATGACAGGCAATTCCAAATATTTGTTAAAATTTAGAACCAGAAATAGAACTTGTTAAACTGAACATAAATCATAGTTTGACCTACATCTGTTATCCCTATATTAAGCAATTAATTACTTCAATTTTGAATACATTGAATGTATTGGAAACAACCTTTAATATTCCCTGATATTCCTGTTCATTTTGACCTTTACACTTTTGTTAAAGTATTTCTCAGAATGGTAGCGGAGAGACTCTGTTACTGGATCAGAAATTTTGAAGCCAGAATTAATGATTTGAAGACAAGGGTTCCTATCCAATTAGAACAACTGGGATTTAAATGTGGTTAATGAAAACACAAACAAGAATCAGTAACAGTGACAGCATAAGAAATAAGAGCTTGAATAGGCCACTTTGCCCTTTAAGTGCACCCTATCATTCAACAACATCATGGCTGATCTCTAATCTAAATTCTACCTACCTGCACTTTCCTTTTAATCCCTCAATTCCCTTACTGAATATCAGAAAATTTGTAAATGTGTATCCATTGTACATTATGCCCTTTTGGAAAGGAAATCTGCTGACCTTGTGGAAGCAGGCCTTTCGGCCCATTGAGTCCACACCGACCCTCTGAACAGCATCCCACTCAGACTCGTCTCCCTATCCGATCCCTGCAATCCTGGATTTCCCATAACTAATCGACCGAGCCCGCACAAAGCTGGATATTATGGGTAATTTAGCGTGGCCAGTCCACTTAACCTGCACATCTTCAGACCATGGGAGGAAACCGGAGCACCCAGAAGCAACCCCACGCAGACACAGGGAGAATGTGCAAACTCCACACAGACAGTCGCCAGTGGGTGGAATCAAACCTGTGTCCCTGGTGCTGTGAGGCAGCAGCACTAACCACTGAGCCACCGTCCCGCCCACAATTGTTCAACCTGTG